AGAAGAAGAAGAAGAAGAAGAAGAAGAAGAAGAAGAAGAAGAAGAAGAAGAAGAAAGAGAGAGAGAGAGAGAGAGAGAGAGAGAGAGAGAGAAATAGGGTCTAGAGAGATGGCTTAGAGGGTGAGCGGAGCACCCAGGTTTGGTTTGCAGCAGCCATATAGGCTGGTTCACAGTCGCCTCTAACTGTAGCTGTAGAGCATAAGCCACCCCCAGTCCTGGACTCCTGAGGTGCCAGTGTACATGTGGTATACATACACACAAGTATACACACATACATATAAAACATGCTTAAGGGGCTGGAGAGATGGCTCAGAGGTTAAGAGCACTGACTGCTTTTCCAGAGGTCCTGAGTTCAATTCCCGGCAACCACATGGTGGCTCACAACCATCTGTAATGAGATCTGATACCCTCTTCTGGTGTGCAGGAAAAACATGTTGTATATAACCAATAAACAAATCTTTAAAAAAAAAACATGTTTAAATATTTAAAAAAAAAATTGCTTGCTTTTGAGACAAGATTGCTCTAAATAGCCCTGATTGTCCTGGAACTTGCTCTGTAGACCAAGCTAGCCTCAAGCTCACACAGGCTTTAAAAAGTTCTTGAGTAAGGCAGGGCACAGTGGTACACACACTAGAGTGGCCGAGTCAAGAGAATATGAGTTTGAGTGAGGTCAGCTTGGTCTACATAGCAAGTTCCAGTCTAGCCAGGGCTGCATAGGGAGACTAAGAGGCAGAACTGAGGGTTGGAGACTCGATATCCTGTCCTGTTTTTACTAAAGACAGGGTCTCAGTCTGGAGATGTACTTTAGTGGCAGAGTGTTTGCCTAGCATGCACAGGCCTCGATCCCCTCACCAGCCGCACAAAGTCAGACAGGTCTTCTGGTCGCGGCTGGCCTCTACCTCATCAGAGGAAAAGGGTAACTGTGAACTCCTGTAAGTCCTACCCACCTACTGAGTGGTGGGGTTACAGGTGCCACCACCGGATACAATGTTGCACCTCCCACCCTAGGCTTCCAGCATGGTAGGGAAACATCCCATCCATCTAAAATCTTTGATAGCAGAAATGTTCCTGAATCTGTCTCTTCTTTCCATTTGGAGCCTCAACAAACTAGTCTTTGTTTAAAGAAAGAAGCCTTACTGCTCCGGGCAGCAGCAGAGACAAGGCTAGGAGAGCTGAGGCTTTGGCCCCTCTGGCCTCTTTTTTTTTTTTTTTCTCTCCTTTTCGCAGTGTTGGGGACAGAACCGAGGGCCTCCCACCAGCAAGGCGAGCTTTTCACTCTAAGTTCTTTTTTGCTCCTTCCCTGACTTTCCCAGAACCTCTGCCCCAGCTCTCTATGACACTCTTACGCCCCCTGCTGCCCCAAACAATAAATTCCTGGGCTGACATGAAAGTCTCAAAATGTGGATGCTGGGGAAGAGGGCAGGCTCTCAGCTTCCAGAAAGTGATGTCTATGTGTCCATGGTTCCTGTTCCCGGGGCTGAGCCTAAGTCACCATATTGGCTTAGAGGGTGAGCGGAGCACCCAGGTTTGGTTTGCAGCAGCCATATAGGCTGGCTCACAATCGCCTCTAACTGTAGCTGTAGAACATAAGCATATGTAGAGCATAACCAGACTGCGTTGTAGCCTCATAGTACCTGCGCTGGCACAACTCTCCAAGTGCACTTTTGCAGCACATAAATTCCAGGTGTCCTTCTATTGACTGCCATTTGAAGCAAACCCACCTCTCCTATTGATCCATGAGCATCAAAAGGAAGCATAGTTGTTTTTACTCTTCAACACACCTCAGTGCTTACCTCGCTGCCCAGTCCACTGCCAGAGCACAGTAAATATTTATTGAATAAATGGGTTGCATTCAAAGTTCCTTTTTATTTTTAACGACAGGGCTTCACATGGCCCAGGCTGGCCTCAAACATGTTATGTAGCCAAGGATGACACTGAGGTCCTGGTTCACCCAACTCCACCTGTCATGGGTTTCCAGGCAAGCACCACCATGCCTCCTTCTCAAAGGGGGTTGGTTTGGTGGGAAGTGTGAGTGATATTGCTTTGACTCTGAGGGCAGCTGTGAGTCCAGATGTTCTGGCTTCTGTTCAGGGCCTGGTCTACATCCAGTCTCTGTCCTTGTACCCAAAGATCCCTCAAGCAGAAGGAAGCAGAAGAGTTCTCTCCTACAGAAAGGAGGCATAGAGGTGGCATCAAGCATCAGGGTAGCTCAGACCAAGTAGCTCCATATCTATAATCTGAGTTTTCACAATCACTTCCTCTCCCTTTTAAAGATTTTTTTAGGACAGAGTCTTTCTATGTAACCCAGGCTGGCCGTGAATATGCATTCTTTTTGCCTGAGTCTCCCCAGTGTTGATTGTAAATGAATGTGTGTGTGGTGTGTGGTGTATGTGGTGTGTGTGTGTGATGTGTGTATGGTGTGTGTGTGGTGTGTCTGTGTGCGCGTGGTGTGTCTGTGGTGTGTGCATGTGTGTGTGTTTTCATGCCTTGCCCCCACTCTATTCCAGTTTCACTTTCTAGTAAAAGAACCATAGGCCTCATGCATGCTAGGCTTGCACTCTATGCCTGAGCGACAAACACCCCACAACTCATCCTTTTCTTCTCTCCCCGAGGTTCCCTTCCCCTCAGAATGTGTCCACTCTTCCTGTAGCTACTTAAAGAGCATTCTCTTACCTGATAAAGCTCCAAGGGAGAGATGGCTCTGAGGGTGGGACCAGAGTCTCTGGAGGGAGACAAGTCTCCAAAGGGACACAGCAAGGACCTCCATCTTTGGTCCTTGGCTCAAGACCACTTTGAAGTTATCCAGCTTCAGCTGAAGAGGGAGTTCCAAATCCAAGGGTAAAGTTAGTTTTGGTTCTACTCCAGAAGACAGCACCACCTTCTGCAGTAGTCAGGGTAGAGAAGGCATTAAGAGAGGAAAGAACGAGCTGCATCTACACCTTGCTGCTCCTCTCGCTAACTTAATTCAGCCACCAAGCTATACTTCTGTGCAATGTCTGTGAAATCATCCGTAGCCCCAGATAAGCATGCAGTCTAGGTAAAAACTGCATTCTGTGATGTCTCTGGCTTTCCACCCTGATCTCAAGGCCCACTTAAGCCTTTCTACTACTAAACCACCCTCTTGCCTCATTTTTCCCGGGATTCGCTAATACAGCCAGCATCCCACGCTGTTCCTTTACTTGATCTTGGAGGTGAAGGGTAAGCCAAGAAGAATTTCTTCCTGTCCCAAGAGCAAGGAGGCATCCTGAGCCATCCACCAACTTTAATCCCAGCTCCAGAGAAAAGCTCCAGGGGTCTGTGTGAGGCTGGGGAATGTCTGGGGGGAAAATTGTTCTCTTGAGGCTGTAAGCCTTGGGTTTTATGGAGAGATGGGTAGTGTTAAAGAGAAACAGAGGAAGGCAGAACTGGACATGAAGGGGAAGAGATTTTAAGAAGTCTACCTTGAAGACTAAATTCTGCATGGGTCCCTGGTGGGAAGAACAGTCCAGGCTGCAAGTCCACATCACAGTTTCCGAGGTTAGCAGAGGCAGAGGGTGAGAGCTGGGTCTCGTGGCCCAGCCAGATATCTCGACGTATACATCCGTCTAGTGCAGGAACCAGCTGAAGTGGGTTGGGAGTGGAGTGGTGGGAAAATGTTGGGATGGTGGGATCAGGACATCTGAATCCTAACCCCTAGCATTTCCTCTTAGAAAGGCAAGTGTTTATTTTTCTCTCAGTAGTTCTTTTGTGTGTTTGTTTGTTTTCTGAGACAGGGTTTCTCTGTGTAGCAATCCTAGCTGTCCTGGAACGAGATCTTGTAGACCAAGCTGCCTCTGCCTCCCAAGTGCTGGGATTAAAGGCGTGCGCCACTATCGCCCAGCTTTCCATGTAGCCACATAGCTCTTACTCCACCCCACTCTCCCCAAAATCTGAACTTAGGTTTCCATAGTTTGGCCCTAGGATGTAGTTACCGGGAACCGAAGACTGGAGGCAGGGAGAAGTAGTCCTCCTAGCGCGATCCTCATGCTGGGCTGGGCACTGCCAGCCAGAGATCCAGAGACTTGTCTTAGGCACAGCACCTCCTCCCTGTCCACCCGCAGCAGCAGTGAATCCCCATTCATCTTCAGCTCCACCTACAGGAGGGGACCAGAAGCAGAAAGAAGCAGAAGCAGAGGGCCCTGAGTCTGTCACCTCCACTTTCCTCAGAGGCAGCCTAGCGCAGTTGAAAGAGGATGCACTTGAAGACACGTCCTTGGTCCCTCAGACTATGTCAGTACGTACTGACTCAGCCTGGGAATTCCCATCTGAAGAAACAGGGGTAAGAACAGTTACTTCACAGAGACTGTGCATCACTAAGAAAAGAGGACCATGGTGAAGGGATGCTCCTGCTCTCCTTCCTCACCAAATAAAGGTGACACCCCCACCCCCAGCAGAGTTCTCTTACCTGGTGCCATCTCCCATCATTGAGCCGAGGACCAAAGCCTACTGTAAGCCGAGCCCAGAGATTGTGCAGCTGGATTTCAAGCCGGCCATCCCGAAGTCCCAGCATAAACCAATCATCTTTGGTGGAAGTGTCTCCATAAAAAATCACTCCCTCTGGATCCAAGGTTCGAAACTCGAAGGAGGAATAGGGTCTGGAAGGACACAGAAGGAGAGACTGTGTATGGGACGTGTGAGGTTTCAGAGTTGGGAGAAGTGGAACTCTGGGAGAGAACATGGTGGGAAAGGGAAGGTCAGAGGTCAAGTTACAGGGCTGGAGAGATGGCTCAGTGGTTAAAAACACAAGCTGCTCTTCCAGAGGTGCTGGGTTCAATTCCCAGCACCCACATGGCAGCTCACAACTATCTGTAACTCCAGTTCCAGGGGATCCAACAACCTCACACAGACATACACGCAGGCCAAACATCAATGCACATGAAAATAAAAAGAAGTTTAAGACAAAAGAGGCAAAGTAACTCCCATACCTGCTGATTTTGGTGACATCAATGGTTATCACAGTGACAGGCTCTTGTCCTGGGCCGTTGCTGAGGTACCTAGCCGGAGAGGCCTGAGCACTCTGTCAGGAAAAGAAAATGAGCTGAGCCAAGACATTTCAGAGGCAGACAGACACAACTACCGGGTCAGAAGAGGCGGGGAGGGGAAAAGGCAGAGCTAAAACATAGCTCATTTAAACACACAGGGACTGGGAACTCCATCCTGTTCTGCACCTGGTTAGGGACAGTGTGTCTCAGGGCCTGTCCCTGGCGGGTGTAAGGTGGTGGCAGCAGCAGCAGCAATAGCAGAAGCAGCCGTCGTTGCAAGGAGGCCGCAGAGTTTCGGTTCTCCATTGATAGCCGCTGTCCACTCTGTGGCTCAGACAATCAGAGGAGAACAAGTGGGGTGGGTAGTCTTGTACGTGGGCGGTGGAGGGGCCTCACTGGCTGTGAGGCCTCTCTGAAGGCAAATGAGGTGAGGGACAGAGTCCCTCCACTACTATCCCCTGCAGCGCTCTTCTCCTCCCCCATGGTCCAGTATGGCTCCTCCAAAGACTCCTCCCACAAGGGGAGGCTGCCTAGGCCAACTTGAGATCTGGAAACTGTTCTCCCTGCTTAACTGGCATCCTCTCCCAGGGATAAGGCTGAGGTGTGGAATCCAGATATCTTGCTGGCTGGCCTTGGGAGACACTCGTCACCTTTGTGCTCCCTGGCTTTGTCCAGGAGGAACATAAGCCTTCTGTTATGGAACTGCTGTATGGAGGATGCCCGGGATCTGATAGGAATGCCTCCCTTAGCTTTCCCAGAGCTATGACGCCACTCTCACAGGAAAGCATTGTCTCTCTGTGTGCTTTAATGGATACTAAGAAGAAATCATGACCTCAAAGCTAGTCTGGACTACACAGAGAGACTACTCTAAAAAGTGGTGGGGTATACATAGCTCAGTGGGTGAGAGCTGCTGCCAAACCTGATGGCTTGAGTCTATGCCACAGGATCCACAGATGAAAGGAGAGAACTAACTCCTGAAAGCTGTCCTCTGGCCTCCACATACACACGTATGCACATGTGTGCATAGGCACATGAGTTTGAGGCCGGCCTGGTCAACAAAGTAAGTTCTAGGACAACTAGAGCTATATAGTGAGACCTTGTCTCAGAAAACACACACACACACACACTAAAACACACATGTTTAAAATAAGGTAGGAGGAAAATAATGAAAAAAAGCAATAAGTATTTCTAGGGGACATCTCATCACTTGGGAGGCAGAGGCAGGTGGATCTCTGAAGTCAGCCTGGTCTACATTGCAAGTTCTAGGCCAATCTAGGTTACATAGCCCTGTCCCAAAAAAGAAAAAAGAAAAACAAAACAAAACAAAAGTTGGGGGGGCGTGTAGGCAGCAATAGAGAGATGGCTCAGTGATTAAGAGCATTAGTTGCTCTTCCAGAGGACCTGGCTTCTATTCCCATCACACACATGGTTGCTCACAACCAACTGTAACTCTAGGTCCAAGGGATCCAATGCACACTTTTGGTCTCTGTAGGTACCAAGTATGTAAGTGATTCACAGATACCCAAGCAGGTACATACCCATGCACATAAAATAAAGTTTAAAAATTAACAATTATATTTAAAAAGAAAGTTATGCTGGGCGTAGTGGCACATGCCTGTCTTTAATCCCAGAACTTGGGAGGCAGATGCAGGCTGATCTCTGTGAGTCTGAGGCCAGCCCGGTCTATAAAGTAAGTTCTAGGACAACCAAAATGACATAGTGAGATCTTGTCAAAGAAAGAAAGAAAGAAAGTTATAAAAAGAAACCACCAGGGCTGGACAGATGGCTCAGCGGTTAGGAGCACTGTCTGCTCTTCCAAAGGTCCTGAGTTCAATTCCCAGCAACCACATGGTGGCTCACAACCATCTGTAATGAGGTCTGGTGCTCTCTTCAGGCATACATGCAAACAGAATATCGTATACATAATAAATATATATATATATTTTTTTTTAAAAAAGAACCCACCGGGGCTGGAGAGATGGCTCAGTGATTAAGAGCACTGCCTGCTCTTCCAAAGGTCCTGAGTTCAATTCCCAGCAACCGCATGGTGGCTCATAGCCATCTGTAATGAGATCTGGTACCCTCTTCTGGCCTGCAGGCATACATGCAGACAGAATCCCGAGAATACTGTATACATAATAAATTAAAAAAAAATAAAAATAAAAATAAAAAAGAACCCACCATCCATCTCAGGTCCTCTGGAAGAGCAGTAATTGCTCTCTCTTGACTATCTCTCCATCTTCAGAGAGAGCCATCTCTCCAGTTCAGGAAAAAAATAAAAATGGAAATGGGGCTAGAAAGTTGGCTCAGTGTATTCTTCCAGAGGACCCACACTGACTCCTCAGCACCCTATAGAAGCTCATAGCTGTCTGTAACTCCACTTCCAGGGATCCAACACCTCGCACAGACATACATGCAAGAAAAACACCAATGCATAAAATAAGAAATAAATAAATAAAATAAATTTTAAAAAGGCAGTTGGAGAGACGAGTCAGCAGTTAAGAGCACCGGCTGCTCTTGCAGAGGACTTGGGCTTGGTTCCCAGCACCCACATGGCAGTTCATAGCCATCCACAACTGCAATTCTCGGGAAACTTCTGAGGGCACCAGGAACAGATGTGGTGTACATATATACATGCAGGCAAAACACTCAATATCTACACACATTAACACAAACAAGAAAACAGATGCAGTGAGAGAAAAAATGTCGACTCTGCCTGGGATTCAGAGTTTAACACAGGGCTGAGGAAAAGATTCAAGAGATGAAATGCACCAGGAGGTGGCGCACACCTTTAATCCCAGTGCTCGGGAGGCAGAGGCAGGTGGATCTCTGTGAGTTTGAAGCCAGCATGGTCTACAGAGCGAGATCTAGGACAAGTTCCAAAGCTACACAGGAAAACCCTGTCTCGAAAACCAAACAAACAAACAAAATGGAGGTGAAGTTCTTGCTGATCAGCTGTGAAGACATGAGTTTGGATTGCCCACCACCACTAACATAATACCTGGACAAGGAGGTACACACCTGGGCCCCCAGTACTGGGGGAGATGGGCTGGGCTGCAAAGAGGTGGACCCCTGGAGAGCACTGGCCTGTAACTCAAGCAGAATAGGTGAGCTCCAGACTCACTGAAGAAGAAATACTGGTTCCTGCTGTGCACACTCACACGCTCTGTGCTGCACAAGTGCACGTGTAGCACACTCACCAAGTCAAAAGGAAAGAGTTGGAGCTGGAGAGATGGCTCAGTCGAAAAGAGCACTGGCTGTCCTTCCAGAGACCAGAGGTTCAATTCCCAGCACCCACATGGCAGCTCACACTGTCTCCAACTCCAGTTCCAAGGTACATAAATTAATCTTGTTTAATTAAAACAGGGCTCTTGAATTAAAAAAAGAAAAAGCTCAAGGCTAAGCTGGATGTGGTGACTCACACCTAGAATGCAGACACTTGGGAGGTTGAGGCAAGAGTCTGAGCTTTGAGTTTGAGGTAAACCTGCGCTACATAAGTCTCAGGCCAGTCTGAGTGGAAGAGTGACACTCTGTCTCAAAATAAAACAAAAACAAAAATGGTGGATGTTGTGGCACAAGATTGTAGTTCCAGCTGCTACCAGAGAACAAGGAATGTGGAACTCAAAGCTTCAAGGGTTTGAGGCTAAATCAGGTATAAGTAACATATGTAACACCATCACTGGGGAGGTAGACGCAGGAAAATCAGGAGTTCTAGGTCATTCTTGGCTATACGGTGAATGTGAGGCCAGCCTGGGCTACATAACCAGGAAAAACTTCCACTCCCTGAAAGACCTTATCAGAAATAAAGAAGAATGAAGATTAAGGAAACTATTATTTCTCTTTTATTTTATTTTATTTTTGTTATTCGAGACAGGGCTTCTCTGTATAAACAGCTCTGGCTGTCCTGGAACTTGCTCTGTAGACCAGGCTGACCTCCATCTCACAGAGATCCGCCTACTGGGATCCGCCCACCACCACCCAATTCTGCTACTACTCTTAATTACAAGGATTTATTATAGGAACTAATGTGGAAATTTTAACTACTCTATGAGCCACCCAATAGCCACAGGAAGTAAGGGTAGGGATTGTTCAGCACGTTCCGGAGGTATTGGGCTTAATGTCCAGAACCAAAGAAGAGGAGACGGAGGGAGGGAGGCAGGGAAGCAGGGAAAGCTGTAAGAGGCAGAGTACAAGGCTTGCACTATGAAAGACAGCGGATACAGGAAACAACTGAGGATCTTGCGCTCACACAGGGTCTGGGATACACAAGTGGCAAGACGACTAAGAGTAAAATCTAAAGCAGCGAACTGGCGCATGCTTTAATTCAAGCAGCGCAGAAGAAGGCTTTTAAACCTGGGGTATGTATGAAGCATATTGAAACAACAAGCTTTAACCCTTGCCCCTAGCTAGCCCTGTCACAGAGTCCGCGGGCCAGGCGAAGCGAGGCGAAGCGAGGCGGGGCCGGGGTGGGGTGGAGGAGGAGAATTGGTCTTAAGCAGAAGTTGATTGGTTGGAGGGCGGGAGGCAGAAGAGAACTCCAGGCTGACCGAAGTCTCCTGGCTGAGACCAGCTGGCTGCTGTCTGAACCCTGCCTGGGAGCTCCTAGCATTTCTTCTGCCCCTCACTCCCAGCTCTTTGACACCTGAGCTGCAGGCCCTCATCGTGATCCTGCAGAACGGAAGTGGATATTGTCTTTGCTCTTTGATTTTTGACAGAGAGGATCTGGATGGCTTCCACGCGGATCCGAGAGGCCAGGGAGACAGATTGTGGAGACATTCTGAGGATGATACGGGTGAAGACTAGGCTAGAAAACCGAGTGCCGTGGGGCTGGGAGCAGCGTGGTGGGAGGGGGAGAGTTAGAAACGGGGCCTGTACCTTTGGACGCTGCTCTCAGGGTGGCAGGGCCTCCTTCCTACCCTAATGTTGTCTTGGTTCTCCGGTTGTAGGAACTGGCCGAGTATGAGAAACTTTCCCATCAGGTGAAGATCAGTGAAGAAGGTGGGGTTTGCAACTGGGTCCCGAGGCTGGGGTGGAAGCAAAGGATGAACTTTTGGGTGGTAACTACAGGACCGGGCATTGATTCCCGCCCTCCTTTCTGCCCCTTTGTCACACCCCCCCAACCTCTACAGCCCTGAGAGCAGATGGCTTTGGAGAGAACCCTTTCTTTCACTGTTTGGTGGCAGAGATTGTTCCAGCACCTGGGGAGCTCCAAGGTAAGGGACCCTCCAGGCATCCTCAGAATTTTCCCTTGCAGAGGTCTTATCCTTCTCTCTCATTTTCAGGGCCCAGTGTGGTGGGCTTCGGGCTATACTACTTCATCTACAGCACATGGACTGGAAGAAACGTTTATCTGGAAGACATCTATGTGATGCCACAATATCGGGGTATTACTAGCAGAGGCTAAGGGCGGACACAAAGTACCCATAGACCCACTGAGCGGTCCTCAAGCTCATCCCCCTTCCCTGTCCCCTGTATCAGCCTGTGGTTTCCTTTGATACTCCTTCAACTCAAATAATAGTTCCCCTCTTCCCCTTTTTCCACTACAGGTAAAGGGATTGGTACCAAAATAATCAAAAAGGTGGCTGAGGTAAGAAAAGGGGTGGGGTTACAGACTAGTTCCACCCCCCCAAAAAAAATAACCAATCAGCCAAACGAACCAACCCACCAAAAACGTATAGGGGCCGAGGTTGAATGAGGAGATAAGAAAGGTTCTTCTTTTGGTATTTCGAGATGGGGTTCTCTGTGTAGTCCTGGCTGTCCTGGAACTTGCTCTATACACCAAGCTGGCTTCAAACTCAGAGATCTGCTTGCTTCTGCCTCCCAAGTGCAGGGATTAAAAGTGTGTGCCACCATCGCCACCACCCTGTAATTCTTCATTTGTGGACCCGGGGCAGTAAGTAGTGTCTTCTCCTACAGATTGCTCTACACAAGGGGTGCTCCCAGTTCCGCCTGGCAGTTCTGGACTGGAACAAGAAGGCCATTGACTTGTACAAGTCTCTGGGTGCTCAAGATCTGACCGAAGCAGAAGGCTGGCGTTTCTTCCGATTTGAACAAGAGGCAGTGAAGAAGTTGGCAGGATGATGACGTCATCCCCTGGGGAGTTCAGTTTATTGCTACTTATTTGGGAATATCCTAACAAGTTTTCCTAAGGCTATATTCACAGACACTGACCTAGACTGCACTGAGGTGCAGAAAGAGTGGAAACAGGGAGGAGTCTTGTTAAGAATAAAGAATAAAATACTTCGTTTGCCCTGGTGTGGTGTTGGGCAGAGGGGTTGATGAAAGGACGCGGTGCAGCCGCTTTGAAACTCTTTTCTGTTTTCAGGCTGGGTAATATTCCTTTGATGGGGGCTGGGACAGCCAGGGAGCCAGGAGTACTGGATGCCCCAAGTCTTAGCTCTAGCCTGTGATTCTACAAAGAGAACAAGGGACTGAGAGATGTCTCAGTGGTTAATAGCCCTGGCTGGTCTTCACAGGACCCAGGTTCAATTCCCAGCACTCACATGGCAGCTCACAACTCTAAGTTCAGTTCCATCGGACGTGGCATCCTCACACAGGCAAACATGTAGTTTAAACACCAGTGCACATAAAATAAAAGTAAAATTTAAAGGAACAAGAGGCTATGGAAATGGCATATTAAGCTTGTCAATCATCTTTGGAACCCAAAGGTCTTGTCGGGTCTGAGGAAATCTGAAGGAAGATAGCAGACTCAAATAGTATGTAACAACAAAGATCATTTATTATACCAGCATGCATGGGGGGTTGTTCACCTGTACAAAATGGTAGTGACCCTGAAAGAAGTGTGCAGGCTCCTTTTGAGCATCTCAAACATGACAAACAGTTATACCTAGTTTTAATTGACTGAGGTTTTTTTTTTTTTTTTTTTTTTTTAATCTGTAGACATATTTGGGTAAGTGTCGAGGGGGTTGCAGGAACTGTCCTTAAGACGTTGTGGGGAGGACTCACGCCTTTGATATATATTTTTTTCCTTTGCCCCTGAATGCAAGGGTATAGTGGATAATTGGCTCTTTGTTGGGAGAGACTCTGTGTCTTTCCCAGAGAACTGAAATGTAAATTCTGTTGTGAGAATGGGAGAGTTTAACCCCTTCAGTCAGTCTTTTGGGACTGATGTGCCACCAACTAAGACTGCCGGTTGCTGTCAGAAATTCAAGGGACACTGGAAAGACACAATTGCTTCTTCACCTTAACTAATCAGCCTCAGCTAAGTAGGTGTGATGGCATGGTACTGTGGAGGCTGAAGTAGGAAAATCCCTTGATCCCAGAGTTCAGGACCCACTTGTAAAAGTGAGACCTGTCAAAAAAAAAAAAAAAAAGTGAGACCTGTCTCATAAGAAAATAAAATTGAAAAAAAATTTCATTATTAGTTTGGCATTGCCTATACTAAAGTAAAATTAAATAAAACTAAAGGAAATCTTTAAATCTCTGGGAACAATAAAGAAAACAGGCTATTTTTCCTCTCCATCTTTCATATTCTTTGTTTATTTTTGTTTTTTCCAGACAGGGTTTCTCTGTGTAGTCCTAGCTGTCCTGGAACTCACTCTGTAGGCAAGATTGGCTTCAAACTCACAGAGATCCACCTGCCTTTCTGGGATTAAAGATGTGCACTACCACTGCCTGGCAACCTTTGTTCTTTTTAGATAGGGTCTACACTATGTAGCTCTGGCTGACCTGGAACTCACTGTGCAGACCATCAGATTGGCCTAGAACTCATCGAGATTCACTGCCTCTGCCTTGTGAGTACTGGGACTGAAAGTGTTTATTACCACCCCAGGCATTTTTTTGTTTTGTTGTTTTCAGATAATCTCTAGCCCAGGCTGGCCTCCAATTCCCTGGGTAGCTAAGAATGACCCTGAATTTCTGGCCCTTTGTCTGTACTTCTAGAGTGCTGAGATAGCGGGCAAATGCACCATGCCTGTATTATGGAAGTGTTCTTGGGATTGGAATACAGGGCTCATGCATGTGAGGAAAGCATTGTACCTACCAACTAGGCTACATATCCCATCCTTACTTCCTTTTTTTAATTTCTTACATTCATTCATATATTTGTGTGTGGAGGCACAAGGATGCCATGGCTCACTCTAGTAGTGCATGAGCACCGCATATGCATGGTGCACAGACGTGCACACAAGCAAAACACCCATACATGCAATAAATAAGTTTATAAATAAATAAATAAATACTCATCTGGAATGAAGCCGGGTAATGCAGGTCTGTAATCCCAGATACTTAGAGGGCTGAGGCAGAAGATTTGATAATTAGTTAAGATTTGGGAAGAAATACAAGAAATTGGTCATCAAAAGAACAAATAATCCAATAAAAAATGGAGGGGCTAGAGAGATGGCTCAGTGGTTAAGAGCATTGCCTGCTCTTCCAAAGGTCATGAGTTCAATTCTCAGCAACCACATGGTGGCTCACAACCATCCAAGATGAGATCTAGTGCCCTCTTCCAGCCTGCAGGCATACAGAACACTATGTACACAATAAATAAATCTTAAAATAAAAAATCAAACAACAAAAACAAGCTTTTCAAATGGGCTGTAGCTGCAGCTCAGGGCTATAGTATTTGCTTAAAATGTGCAAGGCCCTAGGTTTCAAAAAAAAAAATCTAAAAAAAAAAAAAACAAAAAAAAACTCTTTCTGCAAAAAAAAAAAAAATCTAGCTGGGGCTAGGTAGAGCCTGGCTTTTGGGAAGATGTAGGTTTGATTTCCAGTCTCCAAATAACACAAGAATGGCAATAGCAACAGAAAGCAATCTAAAGGGACTAGAAAATGGCTCAGCAGTTAAAAGCAGTTTATGCTCTTCTGAAGGATCAGGTTTTGGCTCTTAGGAACCACGTGGTGGTTTACAACCATATATAGCCCCAGTTCCTAGGGATCCAGCATTTATTCCTCATCTACCTGGGCACCAGGGACACATATGGTGCACATGTATATGGTCAGGCAAAATACACATAAAGTTAAATGTATACGTTAAAATTAATTTGAAGAACAGAAATTGTCAGGGCCAACATCAACAAAAATACCTTTTGCCATTGTAGAGGCATGAGGATTTAGAAAATACTATTAAAAAATACGAAGACACGAAAGAAAATAAAATGGAGAAACATATAGGATAGCATCAGGAGGGAATTTCAGTGAGTACTGAAAATTCACCCATGTTTAATTTCCAACTGCTTTACGTACCCTTGACCCCAAAAAGTAGGAGTAAGACAAAAGACTGCATTAGCATGATACAAGGAAATGAACAGAAAAATCGAAGGTCGCGAGCTACAGTTAAACCTTTTGTTGCTAGAACAAAACAAGTCACACTTCTACCCTAGACCAAAACATTCTGTAGGCAAACCACTCTCTGGGTGGAATCCAGCATTATCTCCTTAAGGGAACTGGAACTTAGCTGGATCCTTAGACTTTTGTTTGAGGTAGGAAAGATCTTTTAGTCACACCTGTTGAGAGAACAGACCTCTGCTCTAAAGGGGGAACCTTTGGAGTAGAGACAATAACTTTGAAGGAACTAGAGGTAAGTTCCAAGTCTCTGACCTTTGCTCAACATGGAAATAGGCTCACATTTCGGGCCTCCACAAGAAATCTTACTACCAACCTCAAGCCAGACCTAGTGGCTCATATTTGTAATCCCAGAACTCAGGAAGATGAAGCAGGTGCGTTGCCATGAGTTAGAGGCCAGCCTGGCTTCCACAGCAAGTTCTAGGTGAGCCTGAGCTATATATGCAACTCTGTCGTAATAAACAAAAAACAAGGGGCTATAGAGAGGTTCAGCAGTTAAGAGTACTTGTTGCTCTTGCAGAAGACCAAGGTTTGGTTTTCAGCGTCTAAATGATGGGTCACAAATAACTATAACTCCTGTTCCAAGTGACCCAACACCCTCTCCTGACCTCGGAAGGGCACCAGGCCTGCATGTAATGCACATAGATATATGCAGACAAAACCTTCATATACATAAAATAAATAATCTAAGACAAAACAAACCCTCTAAATCTCAAGAGCTGGTGGCACACCTGTGACCACCGCACCGGGGAGCTGAAAGTAAGAATCTCAGGAGTTCAAGGCCAGCCTTGACATTTTAGTGTCGGGCTGCACAGGCCCTGTTTTAAATAAATAAATAAGTAAATAAATAAACGTTAAAATGTACATCTGTAGTCCTAGGACCTGAGGCAAGAGGCTCCAAGTTACAAGCCAGCCAGAGATAGAACAGATTTTGTAATGTACAGGCCAGACGGTGGTGGCACAGGCCTTTAATTCCAGCACTCAGGAGGCAGAGCAGGTGGATCTCTGTGAGTTTGCAGCCAACCTGGTCTACAGAGCAAGTTCCAGGACAGGTTCCAAAGCTACAGAGAAATCCCGTCTCAAAAAACCAAAATAAATAAAATAAAATAAAATAAAAATAAAACAAGTGGAAATTGATTGGGGAAGACTTTTAGCATTGACTCTGAGCCCCACACCCACTTCCTACTGAAAGTATATGAATACTCAAACACACACCTGCGTGCATACACAGGGTACAGCTAACACTAACAGGGAGTCCTTTAAGGCTGTTGTTCTTACATGATCTGCCTAGAGAGGGCTCAGGTCCCACAACTTGCCTGTTTCTCACTCCAGGCACCAAAGTCAATTGTTTTAGCAATGTTTCTGACCAACCAGTTCTCAGTCAGGCTCCCACAGCCTCGCTTTGGATCCAGTTAATTTGCTAGGATGGCCCACACAGTTAGCAGATACGTTTACAGTTTATTGTTAAGGATGTTATTACAAAGGATACAGATGAAAAATGTTTGGGGTGAGGACTAGGAGCATTGGGTTGGGACACCCTGGCCCTGTCCAGGGGGCCGCCTTGCAGGAACCTTCCCAGAGTCAGCTTCCTGGAAGTTCTCAAGCCTGTTTAGGAGTTAGTCTTTTGTTTTAATTAGCATATCAAATACATATATCATTTTGTTTTAATGAGCATACCAAATATATATATCATCGTACCATGCTCATAATAAACCAGCCCGCCTCCTTTTTCATTTTTCCTCTTCTCAAAGCGGCCCTCTTTTGTTCTCATGTTCTGTACGTGTCCATATGCTGTTGAATTTAGATTCTGTGAGGAAAAAATGCAATATCTTTTTTCATCCATTACCTCCATCCTCCTCCCATTAGAATCTATGCTTTCCCTTTCACTATGTTTATAAATATATATTTAAATATAGATTTTAATGGCATAAGAGCAGACAGGAGGACCAATGGAACCGAATAGACGGCCTGGATATCAATCCACACATCTTCGAACACCTGATCTTTGATAAAGAAGCAAAAAATATCAAATGGAAAAAAGAAAACATATTTAACGAGTGGTGCTGGCATAACTGGGTGTCAACATGTAGGAGAATGAAAATAGACCCATATCTATCACCATGCACAAAACTCAAGTCCAAATGGATCAAAGACCTCAACATAAAGCCACCACACTGAACCTCATAAAAGAGAAAGTGGGAAATACACTTGAACGCGTTGGCACAGGGAACCACTTCCTAAATATAACCCCAGCAACACAGACACTGAGAGAAACAATTAACAAATGGGACCTCCTGAAACTGAAAAGCATCTGTAAAGCAAAGGACATGGTCAACAAGACAAAACGACAGCCTACAGAATGGGAAAAGATCTTCATTAACCTCACAGCAGACACAGGTCTGATCGTCAAAATATACAAAGAACTCAGGAAATTGAACATCAAAAGATCACATAATCCAATAAAAAAAAATGAAGTATAGACCTAAATAGAGAACTCTCAACAGAGGAAGCTAAAATGGCTGGAAGACACTTAAAGAAATGGTCAACATCCTTAGTCATCAGAGAAATACAAATCAAAAGAACTCTGAGATTTCATCTTAAACCTGTAAGAATGGCCAAGACCAAAAACATTAATGACAACTTATGCTGGAGAGGTTGTGGAGTAAAGGGAACACTCCTGCATTGCTGGTGGGAATGCAAGCTGGTCCAATCCCTTTGGATGTCAGTGTGGCAATTTCTCAGAAAATTGGGAAACAACCTTCCTCAAGACCCAGTAATACCACTTTTGGGTATATATCCAAAGGATGCTCAATCGTGCAACAAGGACATGTGCTCAACTATGCTCATAGTAGTTTTGTTTGTCATAGCCAGAATCTGGAAACAACCTAAATGCCCCTCGATCGAAGAATGGATAAGAAAAATGTGGTACATTTACACAACAGAGTACTACACAGCAGGAAAAAGTAATGACATCTTGACTTTTGCAAGAAAATGGATGGAGCTAGAAAACACTATTTTGAGTGAGGTAACCCAGACAAAGAAAGACAATTATCACATGTTCTCACTTATAGGTAGTTTTTAAACATAAAGTAAAGAAAGCCAGCCTACAAACCACAATTCCAGAGAACTTAGACAACAATGCGGACACTAAGAGAGACTTACATAGATCTCATCTACATGGGAAGTATAAAAAGACAAGATCACCTGAGTAAATTGTGAGCATGGGGACCTTGGGGGAGGGTTGAAGGGGGGGAGGGGAGAGACAGGGAGGGGAGCAGAGAAAAATGTAGAGCTCAATAAATATCAATAAAAAATATAGATTTTGTATGTGAGAGAAAATATGTAATATTTGTCTTTCTTCAATACTAGGGATTGAATCTAGTGTCTTACATCTGCCAAGGCAAGTGTGCTACTACTGAACTACATACATAGACCTCTTTTAAACTGGCCATGGTGGTGCACGCCCTTAATCCCAGCACTCGGGAGGCAGAGGCAGCATGGTCTACAGAGTGAGTTCCAGACTGGCTCCCATAGCTACTGGGAAACCCTGTTTTGAAAAACCAAAACAAACAAAATACATAGACTTCTTTCAGTTTTGAGTTTGGGTCTCCTTAAGTTGCCCAGACTGGCCTCGATTTCACTCTATCACTTAGACTCCACAAAACTGTCCTCCTATACATGTACATCATGTACACACATACACACAACAACAACAATAACTACATGAAATATAGATGATCTGTCTTAGGGTAGGGCTATTGTTTTTTATCTATTTTATTAGTTTATGATCTTGGTGTGCATTAGGCTGGCTTGGAATTTACAAAACTTATTTCTCTGCTTCACAAATTTTAGAATTACAGAAAAGATTTACCATGCTTAATAGGACATTTTTTATGTTTTAGTTTTGCGAAATAGGGTTTCTCTACATAGCTCTGGCTGTCCTGGATTTTTCTCTGTAGATCATGCTGGTCTCAAACTCACAGAGATCCACCAGTCTCTGTCTCTAGAATGCAGGGATTATAAAGGCAAGTGTCACCACAACCGCCTTAGTTCTAGGTCTTAATGGTTCATTTTTTATTTAAAAACTTTCTTGGTTTCCAAGGCAGCTAGGACAGTGTAGAGGGACCCTGTCTCAGAAAACCAATATAAAACGTAAATTTTCTTGGACTGAGAATGTAGCATAGTTTGTAGAGGGCTTTCCTAGTATGCACAAAACCCTCCTCTTCATCCCTAGCATCACATAAAATAGGTATGTTTGTACAAGCCTATATTTGGAGGAGGAGTCAGAAATATTAGAAGGTTAGCTTTGGCTACATAGAGAATCCAGAGCTATCTCGCCTGCTATTCTATCTTTCTTTCTTTTTTTTTTTTTAATATTTATTTATTTTACAATATTCTGTCTGCAGACCAGAAGAGGGCACCAGACCTCATTACAGATGGTTGTGAGCCACCATGTGGTTGCTGGGGATTGAACTCAGGACCTCTGGAAGAGCAGGCAGTGCTCTTAACTGCTGAGCCAATCTTCCAGCCCCGCTATTCTATCTTTCAAAAACAAAAATATTTAGGGCCATTCTTGGCTACATAGCAATTTGAGACCAGCCTGAGATATAAGAACCCTCTCTCTCTCAGTCTGGGATATAAGAAACCTATCCACCTCCCCCCTCACACACACACACACACACACACACACACACACACACGCCCTTGCTTGTGCTCTCTCTCTGTCTCTCTGTCTCCCTCTCTCTCTCTCTCACACACACACACACTTTGTTATATCTTTTCTTTATTATATCTTTCTTTGTTATATCTTTTATTTATTATTATTTTTAAATAATTTATTTTAAGTTTTATTTTGTGTATATTTGATGTTTTGCCCGCATGTATGTCTATGTGAGGTGTCAAAACCCCTGGAACTGGAGTTACAGACAGTTGTGAGCTGCCATATGGGTGCTGGGAATTGAACCCAGGCCCTCTGAAAGAGCAACTGGTGCTCTTAACTGCTGAGCCATCTCTCCAGTCCTCTTTGTTATATCTTACCAAAGTCTACAGGATTTCTTTATTTTACTGCATTTATTGATTTAATTTCATTTACTTACTGTGCTATGGATCAAACTCCAAGGCCTTATATAAACATGTACAAGTCTATATCTCAGTTCCATCTTTATTTAGTCTTTTTGTTTTTATTTATTTATTTTTGCGATAGGGTTTCTCTATATAGCCTTGGCTATCCTTGGACACATAGAGATCCACCTGCCTCTGTCTCCCGAGTGCTGGGATTAAAGACTTGTGTCACCAATGCTCGGCCGATACTTTTTATTTTTACTTAAATAAATTATTGTGTTATATGTGTAGGTGAACAGGAGTGATACCATATGTGTGATGGTCAGAAGACAACTTGTGGGAGGTGGGTATCTCCTTGTATCTTGTGTTATGGGTCTAAGAACTGAACCCCAGTCGTTAGGCTTTGTAAATTGAGACATCCTCCAGGCTCGGAATTTTTTTAACTCCATGACAATTTTTCCTGTTTTGAATTTCCTCAACATTTATGTATCAGATCATAATGCATTTTCTTTTCATTTTATTTATCTATCTATCTATCTATTTATTTTGAGATAGGGTTTCTCTGTGTAGCCCTGACTGTCCTGGAACTAGCTCTTGTAGACCAGGCTGGCCTTGAACTCAGAGATCCGCCTGCCTCTGCCTCCCAAGTGCTGGGATTAAAGGCACGCACCACCACCGCCTGGCTTGCATTTTCTTTTCGACACGGCCTTGAATTTATTACAATATTAGAAGCAACTTAGGGCAAGTATGGCAATGACACGCATACATGCATGTCTGTAATTTTTGTACTTCGGAGGTATCAGGAATTCAAGGTCATTCCTCAACTACTTAGGGAGTTCGTAGTCAACCTAGGATATAAGAAACCGTCTACAAAACTTAAAAAAAAATCTACTCAAGCCAAGAACCGTGACTCTTTATAATCTCCTATAGATGCAGAGAGTCAACACATGCGCACCGGAACCAAAGCCCAGCGCGTGCGCACGGGGAACTTTTCGCCTTTCGGCTCCCCCACCTCCATCCCTCAATTCCCCCTCTCCCCCCCCCCCCCCCCCCCCCACTTTGGAGTGTGCGCACCAAGAAAGACAAAGGTGGTGAAAGTGACCAAGCAGTCATTCCAGCGCATGCCCATCCCTAAACTGCCCTGGCTGTGCGGGGCTCACTTTGTGGAGGCGGAAGTCCAATCCGCTGAAGCGAGCGCGGCCCCTCCCTTCCCTTGATTGGTTTGCTTCCAGTGTTGTGGGGCGGGGAAAGGAAGGGGTGTTGAGGACCTAGCATTCGTCTCCTTCCGCGCAGGCGCAGAGGGGCGACCAGGAGGGGGCGTGAGAGAGGGGAAGAGAATGTGGAAGCCCTGACGCGCTGGCGAGCCCGAGCTGGGTCGCTAGCCTGGACGCCTGCGCCTTGGCCCTCCGGCTCCGCGCGCGGCGGGCGGGTGCCCTGTGCGCCTGCGCAGT